CTGTTTGTTGATGATGAAGTTATTTCTGTTTCTTAGTTTTCCTTCTAACAATCTGGCCTCTCTGCTGTGGGACTGCTGAGGTCCACTCCAGGCCCTGCTTGCCTGGGGATCACCTGCAGCAGCTGCAAAACAGTAAGGGTTGCTACCAGTTTCTTCTTCTGCTACGTTTATCCGAGAAGGATACCCGCCAAATGTCAGTCTGTTCTCTCCTTTATGAGGTGACTCTTTGGATATATGGGGGTCAGGGAGCTTCTTGAGGAGACAGTCTATCCTTTATTGGAGCTCAAGTGCTGAGCTGTGAGCTCGGTTGTTCATTCAGAGTTGCTGTTCAGGTATGTTTAGGTCTGCTGCAGCAGAACTCGTAAACTCTTTTTTTTTTTTTCCCCAGGTGCTCTGTCCCAGGGAGTTAGGGCTTTATTTATGAGTTTTCATTGTGCTGCTGCCTTTTTTTTTCAGGGCTGCCTTGCCCAGCAAGGAGGCAGCCTAGTCACTGTCTGCCTGCAGAGGGTTTGCTGAGCTGCTGTGGGCTCCGCCCAGCTGCCATGTGAACTTCCCTGCAGTCCTGTTTATATGGATGTAGTTAGAACTGCCTCAGCAATGGTGGCCTGCCTCCGTAATGGCGGACACTCTCTGTAATGGCAGGTTGACTCGACAACGGTGGACTGCCTCAGCGATGGCGGACTATCTCCGTAGTGGTGGAGTGTGTTCGGTAATGGCGCACACCCCTCCTCCACAGAGCTGGACTGTCCCGGGTTCAGCTTTGCTTGCTGTGAAACTCTCAACCCAGAGTGTTTTCAATTGCTGTTATTTATTTTTTTTTTTTTTGGTGGGGGTGGGTCCAGCTGAGCCTGATCACCTGCCTCCCTGACCCGCGGCTGTGCCTTTTTTTTTTTTTTTTTTGTTGAACGGTTGACTCTCTCCTGGGTGTTCCAGTCGCCTGTTGAAAAGGCACTGGGATCTGTGTGATTTCCCTTGCTGTGACTCACTGCGCCAGCTGAACCTGGCACTGAGATTCATGGCGGTTTTTTTGCCCAGGAATCCCCTGGCCTGGCTCCCTGTTTCAGTTCCTTTTAAATCAGATGAATGGGTGATCTGCCTTCCTGGGTCTCCAGCTGCCAGCTAAAAGGGCACCCGGACCATTGTATTTTGTACAGAGAACCCCGGTGCCAGGGTGTGGGCAAAGCAGCCGCGCTGGCCAAAACGGCCGCGCTGGTGACTCATGGGGCTCCTCCGCCTGGGAATCTCCTGGTCTGTAGGCAATAAAAATCCGTCTGGAAATGTGATGTCCACTCATCCTCTGCGCTTTCACTGGGAGCTGCAATCCTGAGCTGTTCCTCGTCGGCCATCTTGGGTCCTCTCCTCCTGAATGGTATTACCTAGGTTTTCTTCTAAGGTTTTTATGGCATTAGGCCTTACGCTTAAGTCTTTAATCCATCTCGAGTTAATTTTTGTATAAGGTATAAGGAAGGGGTTCAGTTTCAGTTTTCTGCATATGGCTAGCCAGTTTTCCTAACACCATTTGTTAAATAGGGAATCCTTTCCCCATTGCTTGTTTTTGTCAGGTTTGTCAAAAATCAGATGGTTGTAGACATGTGGCATTGTTTCTGAGGACTCTGTTCTGTCCCATTGGTCTATATATCTGTTTTAGTACCAGTACCATGCTGTTTTGTTTACTGTGGCCTTGTAGTATAGTTTGAAGTCAGGTAGCAAGATGCCTCCAGCTTTGTTCTCTTTGCTTAAAATTGTGTTGGCTATACAGGCTCCTTTTTGGTTCCATGTGAAATTTAAAGTAGTTTTTTCTAATTCTGTGAAGAAAGCCAGTGGTAGCTTGATTGGGATAGCATGAATCTATAACTTACTTTGGGCAGTGTGGCCATTTTTATGATACTGAGTCTTCCTATCCATGAGCATGGAATGCTCTTCCATTAGTTTGTGTCCTCTCTTATTTCCTTGAGCACTGGTTTGTAGTTCTCCTTGAAGAGGTCCTTCACATTTCTTGTAAGTTGTATTCCTAAGTAGTTAATTCTCTTTGTAGCAGTTGTGAATGGAAATTTCCTCATGATTTGGCTCTCTTGTTTGTCTATTATTGATGTATAGGAATGCTTGTGATTTTTGCACACTGATTTTGTATCCTGAGAGTTTGCTGAAGTTGCTTATCAGTTTAAGGAGTTTTGGGAGTGAGACGATGGAGTTTTCTAAATATACAATAATGTCATCTACAAACAGAGACAATTTGACTTCCTCTCTTCCTATTTGAATACCCTTTATTTCTTTCTCTTGCCTGATTGCCCTGGCCGGAACTTCCAATACTATGTTGAACAGGAGGGTGAGAGAAGGCATTCTTGTCTTATGCCAGTTTTCAAGGAAATGCTTCCATATTTTGGCCCGTTCAGTATCATGCTGGCTGTGGGTTTGTCATAAATAGCACTAAGGATTTTGAGATACCTTCTATCAATACCTAATTTATTGAGAGTTTTTAGCAAGCAGCGGTGTTGAATTTTATTGAAGGCCTTTTCTGCATCTATTTAGATAATCATGTAATTTTTTCATTGGTTCTGTTTATGTGATGGATTATGTTTATTGATTTGCATATGTTGAGCCAGTCTTGCATCCCAGGGATGAAGCTGACTTGATTGTGGTGGATAAGCTTTTGATGTCCTGCTAGATTCAGTTTGCCAGTATTTTATACAGAATTTTTGCATTGATGTTCATCAGGGATATTGGCCTGAAATTTTGTGTGTGTGTGTGTGTCTGTCAGATTTTGGTATCAGGATGATGATGGCCTCATAAAATGAGTTAGGGAGGAGTTTCCCTTTTTCCATTGTTTGGAATAGTTTCAGAAGGAATGGTACCAACTCCTCTTTGTTCCTATGGTAGAATTCAGCTGTGAATCTGTCTGGTCCTGGGCTTTTTTTTGTTGGTAGGCTATTAATTGCTGCCTCAATTTCAGAACTTTTTATTGGTCTATTCGGGGATTCAACTTCCTCCTGGTTTAGTCTTGGGAGTATGTGTGTTGAGGATTTATTCATGTCTTCTAGATTTTCTAGTTTATTTGCATAGAAGTGTTTATAGTATTCTCTTATGGTAGTTTGTATTTCTGCCTGGGTATCGCCAGCAGAGGCTGCAGAACAGCAAAGATTGCTGCCTGTTCCTTCCTCTGGATGTTTCATCCCAGAGGCGCACCTTCCAAATTCCAGCTGGAGCTCTCCTGTATGAGGTGTCTGTCGACACCTGCTGGGATGTGTCTCCCAGTCTGGAGGCATGGGAGTCAGAGACCCACTTGAGGAGGTAGTCTGTCTCTTAGCAGAGCTCAAGCTCTATATTGGGATATCCATTGCTCTCTTCAGAGCCGGCAGGAAGGAATGTTTAAGTCTGTTGAAGCCGTGCTCATAGCCACCCCTTCCCCCAGGTGCTCTGCCCCATGGAGATGGGAGTTTTATCTATAAGCCCCTGACTGGGGCTGCTGCCTCTCTTTCAGAGATGCCCTGCCCAGAGAGGAAGAATCTAGAGAGACAGTCTGGCTACAGTGGCTTTGCTGAGCTGTGGTGAACTTCACTTAGTTCAAACTTCCCTGTAGCTTTGTTTACACTGTGAGGGGAAAACTGCCTACACAAGCCTGAGTAATGGCAGGCGCCCCTCCTCCCACGATGCTTGGGCATCCCAGGTCGACTTCAGACTGCTGTGCTGGCATTGAGAATTTCAAGCCAGTGGATCTTACTTAGCTTGCTGGCCTCTGTGAGGGTGGGATCCGCTGAGCTAGACAGCTTGGCTTTTTGGCTTCAGCCACCTTTCCAGGGGAGTTCTCTCATGCTGGTGTTCCAGGCACCATTGGCATATGAAAAAAAACTCCTACAGCTAACTTGGTGTCTGCCCAAAGGGCTGCCCAGGGCCCTGGTGGCGTAGGCACCCAAGGGAATCTTTTGGTCTGTGGGCCACGAAGACTGTGGGAAAAGTGTTGTGTCTGGGCCAGAGTGCACAATTCCTCATGGCACAGTCCCTCATGGCTTCCCTTGGCTAGGGTAAGGAGTTTTCCAACTCCTTGCACTTGTTGGGTGAGGTGACGCCCCACCCTGCGTCGGCTCACTGTCTGTGGGCTGCACCCACTGTTTAACCAGTCCCAATGAGATGACCTTTGTACCTCAGTTGGAAATGCAAAAATCACCCCCTTCTATGCTGATCTCACTGGGAGCTGCAGATCAGAGCTGTTCCTATTCAGCCATCTTGCCAGTCACCAAGTTACTTATTTTACACAGTGGGCAGATTAGCAAAAATAATGGCCTGAAAACAAAACTCTTTGTCATGAATATGGAATGTGTAATTGGTGATGGTCTGTGCTGGTTGGTGGCAGTTAAGTCACAGAGTGCATTCCTCTTAGAGCCAATTAATTTATTTAGCCAGATATGGGTCTCTTTATCTTTGTTATTTTAGAAATAGGGCACTGGTGTTCATAGTGTGACTGGCTAAGTGCAGTTTGCTACTGTCCATAGAAAAAGAAATAAATTCCATTTATTAGATATGTATAATGGATATATCAACCTTCATGTATCAGCAATGATACACTTGCAAAAAAAACATAAGATGGAAAGGAGAATAGTCATCACAGATAATTCACCTTCCTTCCATATTGTGAAACATCAGTAGTGAAATCTCAAACTGGTCATATGTGCATACAATTAATATTTGAAATGCTTTGCACCTTTGTGAAAAAAAGTTTTATCCTCAGATCCCTTGTTGCTGATTAAACCCACAAAACAAAAGAAAATAATGTTTTGAGTCCCTGTTAATAACTTCTCAGCTAAGATTCGGTTCATTAAACAATGTTTCCTTTATGATGAACTAAGGCAATTAATTCAGAGACACCAGGAGGCTTGTTTTAGCAATTCAGGATAAGGTAATGTCAGCAGGGAAAGGAAGCATGTGAAAATCACCTTTAGTATTTGATGGTTCCACGTTAAGCATAACAAAGGGAAACTAGTGTAATGATTGAGGTAACTCAGTGATTCCCAAATTTGGTTTTTATGAATCCAGTTGGAGGCACTTACTAGAAATATAGATACAAACTCTTTCACTGGAGAATTTGATCCAGGTGAATCTGTTAATACTTGAGATAATCTGATATCAATGATATGTAGTTACTAAAGAACAAATTAAACATAAGGTACAGGATACATCCACTTGGCTATTGCTTCTTATGCCAAATGGCTTAGATTAGAAGACTTTGAGTAATAAGTATTTGTATCTAACTTTGAATAAGTCAGTAATGGAATTATCATAGTACTGTAAATCACAGACCTCCAAAGAGTGTGTTACAAAATATGATAAAATATATATTGGAAGACAACCCTAAAAATTGATCAATAAACCTTGGGAAAAAGTCCATTAGGTTATTTAAATAAAGATATATTTAAAAAAATAATATAGCTGTTTCACTTAATGGAAACTTCTCTGGAGCCTATCTATAAAAGTAAGGAAGTGCATGACTCTGGCACATGTGAAACAGGATTGTCAAAGCAGGGCTAGGTATTGTCTCTAAATTGGTATTGAGTTCCATCTATTGACCAGTCCTGGCTGCTGCCCAGTGGAACTGTAAGTGAAAAAATAATCACCCTCTTTAAGCAAATAAAGTAATTTATTATATAATAGTAGTCCAATATGTTTTTATATATTATAGAGCATAAATACATTTATTGTAGAGAATAAACACATTTTATATATTGTAGAGAATAAATAGAATAAAGACAACACAGAAAAGAGAGAATAACCTATAGTTCTAGGCACATGGCAGTAAAACTGATCAGTGAATCAATCAACTATATTTCTTAGGGCCTACTATGGGTTAGGCACTTGTATTAAATTCCAAGGGCACAATGGCAAATAAGACATGGTCCCAAATTTCAGGGATCAGTTATTTAGAGGGTCTTCTGGTATCTAATCTAGGGCTGAGTGGACTTTTAAATGGATCATGAGTAAGAGTATAAAAATAGAGGGTGCACAAGTGTTTATACGAAATGTCTTTTCCCTGTCAATGACATCAGTAACCGTGGTATTTTAATATAATGCTTGATGCATTTATTGCTTCTTATGGGAATTATAATTTTAAAATGTATTTGACTAATTAAATGTAAAATTTATAAATGTAAAATTTGATTTAGTTAAGCTGGTCATCTTTTACAGAGATGTACCTATATAGTCAAATATTATTTTAAGATGAATCTTTTTATGTTCGATAGATAATATATGTATAATAAATGGTTATCAATGAAGAAGATTATCCTTGACCTTATTTAGTCAATTTAGTTGACAGTTAGACCTTTACTCAAGTAACTAACAGTTATGAGGGGACCAGCCACCACTTGGGTGTAAAAGGGCAAACATGATCTTTAGTTTAGTGTAGCTAAAAAGGCTTCTACTGATGTTGCCTGTACAGTGATATAATTAGAAAATATCATTAAGAGGTTACTTCCATGGGTAACAACTCTTTTCTCTGTGAGAATGAATTATAACCTGCTAACAAGAAACATGTATATTCAGCCCTGCAAATGATTTAAACACCAACATTTTAGAAGAGTGGTTGAAGTTTTAGAAAATATTTTCAAGATATAATTAATGAGTACCAGTCATATTCTGTTTAGTTTTCAGAAAACAATAATGTTATTTTCTTCCAATGAAGTTTTACATACACAACAAAAGTTTGCAATTTAAGCTAAATATGATGGGCCATTTTTGTCTATATTTATGGAACTTACTTTTCTGTCAATATAAAGATTCAATATTCTAGATACACAACTATTACAGATTTTCCAACAGTGAATACACTACACAATAAACAGAGCACAAAAAACTATAGAAAAGCACCATAATTTCTCTTAATTCATCAATTTTATAAGTCTTCACAATCTTACAATGGATGTGGATCTTCATATGAATATGAAATTGATGATATTTACAGTGGATGGGCACAGAAGGGTAGAAACGGGTTGCTCACATGACAATGATGGTAACTTTTAGTATTTTTGAATTTATTAATTTTCATTTAAGCAAAACCTAGCACTAATATCCCGTGAATTTTTGATACACTCTCTTTACATGCTCATTAAAATTACAATAGCATTTTTGGCATATTTTTTATATGCACATTAAAATTAAAGCAGGAGCAAACGATTATATGTGACGCCATTGGGTAAATGTCTAGAAGAGGTAAACTCTCCCAGCTAGAAATAGACACTTGTTACATATATAACTTCAAAGTGTAAGATATTTCCAGCCTGCCATTAGATTGTTTCAGAGGAAATATCTGACACCTAAGAGGAATGTTCACCTGCCATAATTAGCAGTGCCAAAAGAAGTCAACGTGCCTGTGTAAATCTTGAGTAATGTGGCACTTTAGGGCTTAAGATAAGAAGCACAGCTAGTAATTAACTGTAGAACGTTTAGCTGGCCTGCCACTGAAAGATTGAACCTAATCACTCTTTGAACTTCTGTCTGGAAAAGGCACATTATGCCTTATATCTTAATAATTCTCTCATTACAGAACAGGAAAAAATGAAAATTTGAGAAAAATTTTTAAAATATTTAAACTCTTCATGATCTTTCTAGCTAAGGCATTGGCTTTATAGAATAAATACAGTGATAACTTCTTTGTGATAAGAAACAAGAGAAAAAAGAGACTTCTAACAAAAATAGTAATGTTAATGAATACAAATGCATTCTTGTAGATAATGAATTTGAGAACTTCATTAGAAAACATATCTTTTTTAATTCTCTTCCAATAACCTCTGGAGACTCCAACAATAAGGAAAATATATTCCTACTAACAAGAGTATGGTAATACTAACTACTCATTGCAACGTCCATGCCTGAGAGATGCCAGACTTAAAGTTCCGGACTTCCATGCCAGACTTAAAGTTATGAGAAAATTGTAGCTATAGGTTTACCATTTAAAGTAGCTTACATGTTTTAATACAACCTAGCTATTCTTAAAGGTAGAGTGGCTTGATCACTATAGAAATATCAATAATGAACATTTTAAGCAATAATATCCTGAAAAACTGTTTTAAAAAACAGGAAAAATAAACGTCAACTTCTTGTGCAAAAATCTGTGAAAGTTTAAGATGCCACTTTACAGAGGTCAAGCTGATGATCCATTAATTAGGTATGACTGCATTATTTTAAATACATGTATCATTTTAAGATACTCCTTCACATGTCTGCACGAACAAAAGAAGCAAATACTCCATCTTCCTGAGCCAAGAGGCTTTCTGGAGTGTCATATTCTAAAATATTTCCTCGCTTCATCACGATAACCAGGTCTGCCGTCAGAATAGTGTGAACTCGATGCTGTGAGTGAAAAGAATACATGTATTTGTTATACATTTAGGGCACAAGCCAAAACAACGCAATATGTATATTTCACGAATTATTCTGGGGTATTTGTTTATCTTGGTAGTGATGAGATGTGGGAATCACAGACACTTCCTCTTTTTTCCTTATTTAAATGATCATTTATTTACATACTTTTAAGCAATGGCCAACATGGCTGGGTTTTCTATGGGCTGTATTTATTTGAGTGTTAATACACTATATATCAATGTTACCATTTTCATGAAACCTTAAGTATAAGTAGGGTAAAAATGTTTATTAAGCAATTAAATTAAGAGAGGCCATTGTGAACCAGTGGAGTTATACTTTAAGGTCAACAATAATGATCTCTTGTGCAGAGTCACTAATTCCTTGGGCTATAAGAAAATTTGAAGAACCCTGGAAAGTGGTTCCGTTCTGGGATGCAGTAATAGAAGGGATTATCCAGGCCTTTAGACAGGCAGTCTCAGTCTTCGGAGATCACTGGCACTGACCCATTCCTTCTTTCCACATGATGGCCTTTGGATTAATTAGTAACTAATAATGATGAAAGTTACCACTTCCTGAGCATATGCCGTATATTAAGTGCTCCACACACATTCTTGTGAATCATTAGAACATTCCTCAGCTGTGAGTGTTATCCCTCTCCACTTTATAGGGGAGGCCATTCAGAGAGATAAAGCAAAATCAGGAGATCGCATAGTTAATAAGTAGCAGAACGAGTATCAAAACTAGGTTGACTAATTTCAAAATGTAAGATATTTCCATCCTGTCATCTATCATAAGGCTCTCTGATACCTTAGAGGAGCATTCACCTACCACGTCAGTGTTATGGTTAACAGAACAGGCTCTGAAGTTAAACTGGGATTGTGTATTTTGGCTTTACCACCTGTTGTGCAATCTTGAGCAATATGCTTAACTTTGTGTAGTTCCAGTTTCACATCTGTAAAACTATGGTAATGGTACCTGCCTCAGAGAATTATGATGAAGTTCTAATGATAATCCATGTAAAAAAAAAATCAGCACCTTGTCTGACACATACAAACAAATAATAAATGTCAACTACTATTATTTTTTATGTTTATAAATTAGGAAAAATCTGTGTGATGGGCCTTTACTCTTGCTAAGATCAGTGTTGTTCAACAGAAATATAAGGAGCCACAAAATAAGTGAAAACATTTTAATACATTTTAACACAGTCTATTCAGATGTTATCATTTCATTATGTAAACAATATAAAAATGATTCATGAGAACTTTTACATGCTTCTATTAGTATTAAGTCTTTAAAATCCGGTACATATTTTACACTTGTGGCACTTCTCAATTCGAACTATCCACATTTCAGATAATAGCCACATGTGGCCAGGGGCTACCATACTGAACCTGAATTATAAAGAGCAAAATATTAGTGTGCTGATGGTAGTCCCTGTCCAGAGTTCTAAAGCTAGAAATGCTATCAGTTTAGCTGATAAAGTCTTCCAAAGCGCTTCTCTGAACAATTCCAAGTCCAACCTAAAGCCATCCCCAGAGGTAAGGGCCTGCATTCTGTCCCAGGCCAGGTAGATGGGGTGGACTCAGTATTTATGCTTTCAGAAAAACCAGCAGTTATAGTTCTGACTCATGACTTGAGAGGAAGAGAAACACATATATGGAATGTGATAACGATGCCAGCTTAGAACATGCACCAGTTTTCAACGCCCATGACAAGCCTGTTGTTCACTGAATATTGGTAACAAACGATATATTAGGTTGGTGCAAAAGTGATCGTGGTCTTTGCCATTACTTTTAATGTCAAAGACCATGATTTATGAATTAACGGGATTTTGGAGGCTAATGTTTATTTATCTTTGAGAAAGGACCAGAGCCATTTGCACACCCACACATTTGGAAAAAGAAACTTAACAAACTATCCAATAATATCCGCTGTGTATTTCCCTCCAGAAAAATATTAGTTCTTCAATAACCATATCATGGATGTCTAAAAAAAGAATTTGGCCTCTAAACCCATAAATGTAATATTATAAACACTGCATTAATATTCTAAAATAATGTTTACTAGAAAAAAATAAAAATGAAAACATTAAAAAATCTTGGCTAACAGAAATAAATATAGTTGGTTTTTATTCCATTATTCCAAATAATTTTTCTTTGACAAAGTGTGGTGTCAATTGTAAATGTGTTGATAAAATTTTCAAAACATTCCAGAGAAATTAATCGTGTAATCACTTTCAGAAATAAATACATGGACTGTTTTGGTGTGTGAGTGCTTCCATTTAGAAGCTGGAGAAAGTTATCTTTTTAAGTTATTCCACAATTTTAGCAGCAGTTAACCAAAGGAATAAGCTCTTAGGCAGGGAAGGAAAAACAGTTAATTTTAACGGAGCTGAGGGTCATTCTACAAAGAGTCTACCACAAATGTGGTGGTGCTTTCCCTTTTATGAGCCTGTTATGAGGAGTTGGTCCTCTAAAAAATATAGTGATTCTTCCTCAACAGCTTCATGTGTATTAGGGGTGGGTGGGAGCAGGGAACTCTACGTATCCTAGTGGCCACCTTCACACAAGTGATCTTGAAATGAAGAATGGGTGACAGATATGTAAGTCTATAGAAATGTATTTAGTGAATGTAGGAGGAGAGAAATCAGGTAAGAGGTAAACTAATCAGGAAACCTAACATTTTGTTTAAAGTACAAATTATGCTCAAGTAATCTTCCAGATATTGACTAAACAGAACCACCCAACAATGCCATGCTTTATGCAGAGTAGAGAAAATCCGTCTTTTGAGTCGGCAATGGTCTATTTTTTTCTCCCGTTCTCTACCCATTTTGGGGCAACAGAAAGTTCTTTATCTTCTAAAATATCTCCTTACCTTTTCCAGTAAGAAAATTATTGAAAATACTGGACAATTATTTTTCAAGTTAACCAATTCTCCTACCCCTTAAATCATTCACACCTTTTCACTGGAAAAATTAGAGAAAGTAGATTTTTCTTTACTTACGCAGTTTGCAAAAAGCGAGCGCTGATGGGGTATTTCCTGCCATCTTAAAAAATGCCACATTCCAAAGGGGTTCTATTTCTCCCATGCATCATCCAAGACCAAGAAAGTGGAAGCATAGCAAGCACTCCATACACAACTCCCATTACTCACCAGTGAAACTCAAGTAACTATTTAAATTTAACAATGCATTCTCCAGCGCAGGTAAGAAATGTGTATGGCATTTTTATGGATGCTTAAAAAACATCCCTAGGGACTAGTGAAATTGGTCCTTAGAATAAGAGGTAATTCAGTTCATAGATTTCATAAACACTCTCTTTTGCATGTATATATTTGAAAACACATGCATGTGCCCCATTTGGCAGTGAGCATAATAACTAAAGCACTTGGTTGAACTGATTTTGTAACACCCTGCAGTTAGTTCCCTCATCCCAGCCCTCCTCTTTATTCAAAGCATTAGCCGTGCCTTACTGAGGGGATACTGCTAAGATAACTACCAGAGAATGACAGATTTGGCGCAGTAGATCATGACGGTCTACTTGTTGGTCATCACCAAAGTGGAAAAGAGGCCATTCCTGAGGGCGAGCAAATTTGGAACAGTATCGCACTCCACTAAAATACCCTCAGAAAAGACTAAAACAAGGCCTGCATCCATAATAGAAGAGACACGGTGCTGGAGAGAAAAATAGAAGAGAAGAGAATCAGCAGAAGGAAAAATATCCATGTGACTCATTAAAAAAGTAGTTTTTGTTAAGCAGTAAGCCTAAATGTGAGCAAGAATCCACTTGCAAAGAGGAAAAGACAGAAAACTGCAGGCTATTATAAGTCAGCTTTCACGTGAATTACAAATATTTACGTACTTCTATTTGATTGGTGCTATCTAAAACAGAAAAACTTACCTGCCCTACCATGATAGATCTCATTGTCTATTTTTTTTAATAGATGAATGGAAACATAGAAATTAGGTATAGATAGTAGCAGAATAAGCAATCAAATGGAGGAATTTTCTTTCTGGAACTGCTCATCAGACCATCAGATTATAGAAAGGAGAATTATTCTATATGAACTACCGTTGTATCTGGTGAACAAGCAGAGGCTGTGACCCACTGGAATCTTTAGATTTAGGATGTCCTATCATTGTAACTTAGGGAAGTCAGTTAGGTAGAGCAGACAGTTTGGAAAGAACAATGCTTCCAAAACATCTTTGTATTTGTTTTTAACAGACACAGAAACATTAGCCGAAAATACGTAATTCAACAGAAGTATATTTTGCTCAAACCCAAAGATGATAACATGTTAGTACAACAACCAAAGAGGCGTGCCGCCTCTGTCTTCTCATACTTACAGCTATTGTCACCACAGTTCGGTCTGCGAAGGCTGTCATTACTACCTTTTGCAAAATATTTTCCTGCAAAAAAAATAGTGTAAATTTTCTCTGGACTACTTTGTCTTACCATAATGTTTTGCCCCAAGAACAATATTCCACTCAATCCCTTGTGAGCATTCTCACTCCCTAGTCTTCTGTGGAAGGCACAAGAAAGAGTAGGCCCCAGCAGCAGGTTCATGTTGGATTCTGTATGTGTCTTCAAAACACAAATGACAGTCAGTGATCAGCTGGAAGTGTGTGATATATTTATTTCCAGGAAACCCAAAGAAGAAAGTGAAATTAATGTAGTATAACTAAAAATGCTCACTTGAGTTATACTACAAACAGTGTATGTTCGAAACCAGCAAAATTCTGTAACGAAGTTTACCTTTGAGTCAGAAAAGGGAAGAACTAAAATTGATGCCAAAATTTGGACTTCGACCCATAAATGAACATTCTAGGCAGAAACTGTTTTTATTCCCACCTCAAAGCACTATTATAATTATATTTTAAGGGCTGTTATGGGTACAGATTTCATCTCTCTTAGAGGAAATCTTGGTTCAATTTTTAGAGTGAAGGAATTCCTTCTTTCAATCAACTGCCATTTCTTTCATACTCTCTCTCCTTAATTGAGGCAATATTACCCTTATAATAACTCTCAATGTTGTACAACCTTAATAATTAATACTGATTTTGAAGGTGATTATGCTATTTATTGCAATGACTTGATCAGAGACCATTTTACTGCTTTAGATTAAGTTTAAGAAAGCTGTATAAGTCTACGTACTTCGATTAGACTAACTTAATAGAAAAAAAAAGTCAAGTTAGCATCTCCATGTATAAATAGCTCTTAACTAACTTGAAACTGTTTCACTTTATGAGTAGTTTTACCCAATCTAAAGTGTGCAGCAAAAAAAAAAAAAACATATGAGGTTGTGGGTTCTTTTTTTGTCCTTTCTGATGTCAAATTTTAATATCATGTTAACTTTCAAAAGAACATTAATTGCTAGCTCATACACAGTTTATGATTTAATGTAATATTTTCCCTACTCAATCACAGCCTTCTGGACAGATCTTTCTTGGACACACTTGACAATGTCAAGTACTATCTTTCAAAAGGCAAAATTTATGGCTTTTTACAATAAACACATAGAGAAGGCTGTTATTAATTCTAGCCATTATTAATCCAAGTGAATCCTTCTTCTTCAAATTTGTTTAGGAAATAATGAGTGGTGGTGTTTATCAATAGATTCTATTAAATAGAGATTTTCATACTGCATTTCAGAACTTTATGGCATAATACTTGAATATAGTACAGTACCTCTCATCAACTAAGCCCTGAAAATTTGCTATTCTGAAAATTTATCAAAAAGTTGTGGCAAATTTATTTTATGTTTATTGGTAATAGAAAGGCCTTTAAACCATATATAGAGTCCTATTTATTTTAATTCTCAATGTGCTATCATCAGTTCATCAAGGAGATGATTGAGAAGATTCTCAAAACAATAGTACTTGGGTTGGATTGGATTCAGAACCCAATCAGGAAATAATCAATTATAATTTTCATGCAAATTTCTCCAATTTGTCCATTTTAAAAGCACAGATAATGCACTCACTGTGGCCATGTCAATGGAAGCTGTTGCCTCATCCATAATAAGAATGCTGCTTTTGCGGACAAAGGCCCTGGCAAGGCAAAATAGCTGTCTCTGTCCAACGCTAAAATTCTCCCCACCTTCAGTGACAACCGCATCTAAATCAGAGAAAGAAGCAAGGATTTCACTAAAGGAATGCTACTAACATTTTCTTGGGCAAAATCATGTAAACCACATTACGCTGTATGACAGCATGATAGCTATCACTTAGTGCTGGTGCAAGGATTTCATACTGGAGCAACAAAGAGGAACTCCACTTTGGGAAAATGAAGATGATCCTAAATAATCTCATTTATAACAATAGGTAGGGAATTACCTCTGATAGTAGGATATAACACATTTTGAAGACAGGAAAACCTTGGAAATTATTTAATTATTTAATACTATTCTCTAAGGAGATTAATTACCTAAGGCCCAGAGAGATGAAATGGCTTGCCCAAAGTCACATTTAGCTAACTTGATAAGATATAGAATATTCTCAACTCCAATTCCACTTCTCCTTTCCTCTCTCTAGACTGTTAAGTACAAAGTGGATAAGGACTGGATTTGTTTTCATTTCAGTATGTCCCTAGTACTGTGGTATCTTACACAGGAGCTGAATAATCCACTGTTGTATGGATAAATGAATGGTATGTCCTCATTATCCTTTTCTTTTTTTGTGTCCATCTATATTTCATAAACTGTACTATATTTCATAAATGGTGAGTTTAAGATAAATTCTGTTTACAAAATGTCTTTTTTAATTAGAATTCAAACACCGTTTTCTAAAGTTCTGGGGGTAAATTCTATTGATTATATTCTAATGGTATCAAAGTCTTATAATTTGTCATGATTAGAAGATAGGTATTTATTCTCCAAATTCTAATTTATATATAAAAGAGGATGCTGGGGATAAGGAATGTTTCCACTAAAGCTGGCCTGAACCAAATCTTCATTAAGCAATTGGTCATCTTTACTAAGATGATAAGCATAATATACAGTCAGTTACATAATGTAAATACAATCTCCTATTGCCTGTGCTGTACCATAACCTCAAATCAATATGCCCACAATTCTAAACAGGTGTATGTAGCTCTCATGTTAATGAAGAGGATTAGAAAGATGCAATAGTCTGTCTTTTCAACTATTAGTGGAGAGAAAGGGGATCTCTAAATGCCAAGAGAGAACGTTCTATAAGCATGTATTAATTTCTCAAGTAGACTTGCTGGGCTTTCCACAGGAGACATTAAAAAATTATTATGGGAGCTAAGCATAGTGGGGCACCTATAGTCCCAGCTACTCAGGAGGGTGAGGCAGGAGGATCACTTGACCCCAGGAATTAGAGGGTGTAGTATGTGATGGTCATGCCTGTGAATAGCCACTGCACTCAAGTCTGGGTAACATAGTGAGAACTTGTCTCAAAAAAAAGGAAAAAAATCACTATGGGAAGGTTCATCCAAAATTCTAGAATTACTTTCACAACCTGACCCTGGCAAGTCAATCAAACTTTCCTTAAAGACATGCTGTCTTGACTTTTGTTTGTGGCATACTTTCTCCTTGGAACTTAATTAAAATAATAAAATGTAGTGTTTTTGAGTTGGCTCTCCTTTTCAAGTGAACTACCAAATACACGTAATTTTATTTTGTAGGTTGATTTTTAAAAATCTAGATGCCAAACAACACAATTAGGTAATTATAAATTGTATATTAAATTTAGAATATCAATCAACTATTATCTTTCCTATTGCTTTCTTAGATGAGTTTAGATGTTAAGGAAGCAGAAGTCAAAAATTATACGTTTGATTTAATGAGTTAAAGACAGTGATTTAAATCTGTGATTAATCTCTGCGATTTTAATAATCAGATTTTCTTTCATTCTGTTATCACTTATTTGTCAGAAATTGTACAACCTCTGGGACTGAATTTTTATCAGTGATTGAGTACATGTTGTGTTCTTTATGCACTTGGTTAAAACTGATACTGCCTCAAGGCAATGCACAACAATGTCTTCAAACACAAAGAGACTTATGTCATATCAATAAAGAGAATTTTCCCTTCTTGCAGCAAGGAAAATGGCTACTAATGTGGCAAAACTGGCTTTCCCTAAATGGTGCCAAAGACTTAAACCTAACAGCTCCTGCAATCCTCCCATTCATTTTCTGATGGTAGGTGATCAGACAGGTCAACTGAGCAAGAATAACCACAGGGAAACATCCATTACAATGACCTGTACCCATCAATTGTGAAAAGATGGCAGAGATAGATGTATTAATTGGAATATTTTGGAGTAGTCACATAGAACAGAATTTGTTACGGGGTTCATTCTCTGGTATCCCATGCAAAAACATTAGAGTTTGAAATATTCTAATGACTTTTAGGATTTTATTGTAAATATAAGGAGATTTAACACTAAAATTATGTGATTATAGCATAAAATATAAAGATATGTAGGATTAATGGCATATATAAAAAATAAATATACTATTTGGAAAATATACCTAGACCTCCTGGTAAAGATTTGACCATATTCTTCAGCTGAGCAATTTCTAAGGCTTCCCAGAGTCTGTCATCTGTGCATTTGCACTCTGGATCTAAATTAAATCTGTAGGGAAAAATTAGTTAATCAATAAGTAAAAATAGAGAAACTTTTATGTGTATTTACTTATTGCTTTTCTTTCCTTACAATGTAAGTTCATTTGTTTGGTTACTGCTGTATATTCAGCACCTAGAATAGTGCTCAGGGCAGAGCAAGCACTGAATTAGTGTTTGATGAATGAATGTATAATCTTAATAGTATAAAACATGGTCTTGATGATATTATTATATAACTTAATATACATTATATCATATAACCAAGTTTGTTACATAGATCCATTGGCTCCAAATAATGCTTGTATAACCTGAACAGTATCTAGCAAAATATTCCTGCAGAGCTGATGCTACATACGTACATCTCTATGGGAACATATGAACTATTTTAGATAGGCTGTGCTGCACCACCAGCAATAGTAGTGTATTGGTCCATTCTCATGCCGCTATATGTTTATAAAGAAAAGAGACCTAATTGACTCACAGTTCTGCCATAAAGAACTATGAGTCAATTAAACCTCTTTCCCAGTCTCAGGTCATTCTTTATAAAAGTGTGAAAACAGACTAATAAAGATGCCAACATGGACTTTGGAATCAGATGAACTTCAGTTGGAATAGCAGTTCTTCCACTTAGTAGGGGTATGAACTTGGGTTAAGTTACAGCTTCTTTGAGTAATGGCTTGAGGACTTAATCAGATAATATATTTAAAGCACCTAGCAGATGGTTGATATCCCCATTTTTTTTTTTTTTTTTTTTTTTTGTGGGAAACCCTGAACCAGGCACGAAAACTGTAGCAGCTTTATGCATAGAAATTTTGGCTGAAGTAAAGTTATAAGGGGTGGAGGGATAGGTAAAAGGATTAACCAAAGTCAGAATATCTGCTGAGGCCAGGCCAGACATCCAAGTTAGACTGGATATCTGTAGGACAGAACACCTTAGAAATGTCTGCCAAGCATCACTGCTCTCAAGTATAGAGGACAAAATGGCTTTTATAGAAGCAAACTGAAAGGGATGAAATCTCCTGGAAGCATAATTTTTATAGGTTAATTTAGCAACTCTAGGTTTTTCCAATCCAGATTGTTGGAAAGCATATTTGATTTTGTTGTTCTGATATCAGTTCACTCATATCTGAAAAATGACTCTGAGTAAAACCTTTCTAAGAGTCAAAGGCTAAATCCTAAGGCACACAGATGTTTGCTGAACATGTTACCTACCTAATGGAACCACTGAATAGTATTGGATCCTGCAGAATGATTGAAAGTCTAGAACGTAGTGTGTGCAGTGGTAATTTAGAAATGTCTATCCCATCGATGACAATTTTTCCTGTTAAGGAGAAACAGAAATTACAGGCATGTAGCAAACTAACAAGTAAAATAATATTTGTTTACAAATTAAAAGTTCTTTCCTAGTTCAGGGTTGAAATTCAGAAGACCAACTTTTCCATTTAAGTGTTAAAAACATCATGTGTCTCTAAAAAAAAAATACACGTTTGGTGATGGTTTGTTTTTCTTATGTATTTCTCCTAAAGGAATTCAGAGTTTTTATTTGGTTTATGTGATCATACCAACCAAAAAGTACTTTTACCCCTTACTGAGTCCTTTCCCTTCCTGTATTCCCTTTATCCTCCTTCCCACTTTATTTCTCTTTGTGAGATTTATCAGAATCTGATATTCTATATACCTTTACTTATCTTTTTAATTGTCTGTTCCTCAACTAGAATATAGACTCTTTGAAAACCAGAATCTTTGTCATTCATTCCTATATTGATTTAATGGTACAATGCATTACAAATAGAAAAGAAAGTTCTGTGATATGAATATAAAGTTTTAATAAATTTCTCTATACTGCATATGGACTCAGAGATTTGTGCAGTCTGGATGTTGTTTCTCCACCGTCATGTATGCAGTTAATCATATCACTTTTATGCAGAGACCATATTGCCCCGTGCGATAAGATGTCAGGCTTAGAATGGTAGCTGGAGTCCTTTTACCAGATAGATTTAGAGCAGGCAAGGGTGATTAGCTTAACTTACGTCTTTCAAGAATAATAGATCAGAAATAATAAATTATGTATTAAAATCTTAATAGCCTACTGCTATTAAAATGAGAATAATCACTGATAGTGTTCACATGGGACCTGAAATCATGTGTCTGGACTCATGAGGATCAGGCTAACCTAACATGATCAGTCATAAACATAGTGTTTTAATGAAAAATATCAATTGATTTTGATCACTTAATTGCCTTATAACTTTAATCCCACTGAAAGTCCTTAAAGTATCTGTACATTATTACTAGCCATGGAAAAGTAAGCTGCTAACCTAGTGACAGAAGTTTATCTTGTTCCTGAATCTAAACCCCAAAGAAATTACACTTACTATAGTTCCATGTTGTTCATAAACTGACCTCTTTATCTCACAGAGCTGTGGTGTAGATTAAATTCAATAATATAAACTGTCAAGTACAATAAACATGCAAAGTGCTGCAATCATCATCATCATTACAGATAATAACAGTAAGCACTTCCTGTACTGTCAAGTACAGTAAGTTTGGTCAAGTTTATTGCTGGATCCTCTTTCATTCAAGATACTTTATGTGCTGGCCTATTTATAGGCCATCTGATAGACTTAATTGTGTGACTTTTTTTTTTTTTTTTTTTTTTTTTGAGATGGAGTTTCGCTCTTGTTACCCAGGCTGGAGTGCAATGGTGCGATCTCGGCTCACCGCAACCTCCGCCTCCTGGGTTCAGGCAATTCTCCTGCCCCAGCCTCCTGAGTCGCTGGGATTACAGGCACGCGCCACCATGCCCAGCTAATTTTTTGTAGTTTTAGTAGAGACGGGGTTTCACCATGTTGACCAGGATGGTCTCGATCTCTTGACCTCGTGATCCACCCGCCTCGGCCTCCCAAAGTGCTGGGATTACAGGCTTGAGCCACCGCGCCCGGCCTGTGTGACTTTTTTTTAAAAACAAAGGTTAAATTGTTTCTATGCTCTTGTGTATCATATTATTAATAATTTGGTGGATGAATAAATAGCTGTGTACATTGCTATCATGAGCTTTATCACTTTACAGCAAAGGTTGCCTCCTCACAAAATGTTCAATGTCATTAAACCATGACATTAAGCAGATGATGGAAAAGAGTCATGTATCAAAATTTAAAAGGCAGTTTACTAATCTCCTAGCACTTTTTTCCTTTGTTGGAAAGAGATATATGTTTAGTCTAAAGGAAGCAAGGCAGTTGTCCTTCCTCTTCCTTTCTCTTGAAATGCCACCTCCACCTACTGCCATTCAAAGTGGGTGGCCTTGTTTTCATTTTACCAGTTTATTAAAATGCTTTAAGGATCATCAGTTTATTTCCCCAATTCTATGTCCTTTCTTTACTTTTGGGCTGTTTATTTGGGATATCTGCCTTGAACTATGTGCAAAACACAAAGTCCTTATAAATATTTGCTTTTTATTTCTGCAGGATTAGGTAAATTGATTTTTTTTTAAAGGAAAGCACCACATAGCCACTTAAAAAATTTAGTTAGCAACTCACCATCAAATATATCAACCATTCTGAAGAAAGCCAGAGATAAGGATGATTTCCCACTGCCAGTGCGACCGCATATGCCCACCTATGAAAACAGCTGTCACTCAAGAGAAGAAGACTCAAAGGACAGAAGATTAGCTTAAGTTTTGTGTTTTAATTTAAACAAGATATTATGATAAAACTATAATTATATCTAAATAATTACATTATAGATATTTTTTCTTAGGTCTACATTATGAATTATCATCAAGATAAAAACAGGCTGGGCACAATGGCTCACACGTGTAATCCCAACACTCTGGGAGGCTGAGGCAGGTGGGTCACTTGAGGTCCGGAGTTCTAGACTAGCTTGGGCAATATTGCAAAACCCCATCTCCACAAAAATTAACTGGGTGTGTTGGTGTGTGCCTGCAGTCCCAACTACTTGGAAGGTTCAAGTGGGAGAATAGCTGGAGCCCAGGAGCTCGAGGCTGCAGCAATCCATGATCATGCTACTGCACTCCAGCCTGGGTGAAAGAACAAGACCCTGTCTCAACAGAATGAAAATATAAAAACAGTTCTCACCAAATCTTCGATTTCATTCTAATTATTTTTATTTCCATGTGGTTGCATTGTTTTTCCTTCATGGCTTTTTTTTTTTGCATTTAGTATATTGTTGCACTAACAAATAATGATTTCCATGTTATCTTAGAAGTGATGGTTTTATAACAAAAAGTAGAATGAGTTCATTTTCTTCTGCCCACTGTTCTTTTTATAATAACAAAAATAAGTCATTTGGGAACTAGACTTACTATGAATGCAGAGGTTCCCAATGGGATGGCTAATTGGCAGCAGCCAGAAGACAGATATTTTTTAAAACATGCCTATTGTTGACTTTTCTGATCTTCATGGGAGACTAGTGAATTACAATATGACTTGGAGAACATGTACTGTAGTCTGATCCTATCTCTATTTTTTTTTTTGTTTGTTTGTTTTTATGCAGATAAAATTTGACCAACGCCAGGTAGGGAATATTAATGTGAGCCCAGTGAGAATATACTTACTTGGCTGGGAAGTCTGAAGAGCTTAGGCAGTAAAAAACCAGATTCCGTTGGAGGTTTTATGTATACAACAAATCAAATGCAGTGATTTCATACCTTTTGTCCAGGTTTGATGTAAGCCTTGACGTGTTTAAGAACAGGTTTCAGATTATTTTCATATCTGACACACAGATCATGTATCTTGATCTCCCCTTCTTGTGGCCAATGTTCTGGAACTTGAGAAGGATCTGGAGGATGAGGAGGGGAAATAGATAGATAATAGGTAGATAGAGACAGATGTAGAAAGAAATGTATGCATACTTAAATACATTAACACATATATACTTTTTTTTCTAAATTTAAAGCAATACTGAACAAAACTAGGTGGCAGGTTTTTTAAAAAATTTAAATCATATTCAAATCAATTCAAATCATAAACACCTTTTCATTTAGCACTTTTAAGACAGTTTTTTCATGTTTATTTTTGGAGCCTTAACCATCATCATGTCTCTTTAGCATTCCATCACTCAATTCTAGTCAAAGTGGACAGAGATAGTTCATTTGTGAATTGATTTATTTGTTCAGTCAGTTGATCATTAAACACCTAGGTTCCTAAAAAGTGAGAGGTACTGTACAAGGTGCTGGGAATGTGGAGATGAAAGACACAGCTCAAGGTGCTTGCTCTATTCTTGGGGAAGTGTCCAGTAGGTCAGCACCTACAAGTACTTCATGGAGGCCCATGATGAGGGCAAACCTATGGTGCTCTGGGAACATGGATGGTGCTAACCTCAGAGGTCCAGGAGGGCACCAAGAGGAACCAGTTCCTGAGATGAATCTTAGAGGATGGGAGATGGGGAAATTTATTTTAAATATATGCACATAGGAGAACAAAGAGGAAAAGAAAGTCTAGCATTTAGTGTGGCCAGAGTAAAAGTGGTGCAGGTGGATGACAAGAAATGGGACAAGATAGGTGGGCACAGGTTGGCTAATGAAGGGCTCATGATGTTAGCTAAGTGTTCTGGATTTTGTCCTTGAAGAGCTAGGTGGCTGTTGAAAGATTTAGGTAAAGGAATGCCTTTTAAGCTTGAGATTGGCATTAATAAAGATTATTCTGTTTTCAGTATTGAATTTCCTGCCAGTCTTATTCTAGCAAAGTTAAGAATCTCAGTAAGTATTTTCAGATCCAAATTTTTTGACATCTAAGTTAATGATGTCTTGAGAAAGATAATATAATAGTTTATAGTTTAGGTCAGCAATTAATGTAATAAAGCCCTAATATTTTTATAACCCACTTTAAATTTCATTAAATAATCCTTGTTTGGACTCTGTCTGGTTTTATCCAAGACTTTTCAGCCTAAAGAGTCATATCTTTACAGGTGCACATAATAAGCAAAGCCAAGATGAGAGACAGTTTTCTGGATATTGAAGTGGAAAGCAAATGCAAAAACAGCAATGTGACCAACACACAATAATATTTGTTTAAAATGAATATTTAAGTGAAACAATATTTAGAGCAATACCCATGGTGCCTTCATAGTTCTCTGACTCCATAGTCAGGAAACTGTTCACTTTCTTCACTGCACCCATCTGGACCTCCAGGTCAGCCAAGTTCCTCACAACCCAATTCAAATAATTGGTTATCTGTGCCAGGTGATAAAAAACTTTTTAAAATAAAGTAAGAAATTGTGGTAATTACTAGAAATTTTGGAATGGGTTAACTTGGACTATTAGTGTACGTGTGTGGTACAACTCATAAGTGCTACAGAATATTAGAGACCACGGAGAATGTGATGCAATATATCAGCAAAGAAGGTGTCTGCTGTCTTTAAGGGTCCATAAATGTCACCATTTTGTGAACTGTCCTCTAATTTCCCTGCACGATGGATAGTGGTATACACTACTGTTTGTACTTATCTCGTGTATATTCACATTCATTGTTGTGTCCCCAACTGGGTTGTGTACAACTCAGGAAAGGGATCCCAAATAGCCTTGAGAGTACTCTGACCACAAGATCTGGGATGTTTTTAAAAATTGGTTCACAAGGTAGAATTGAATCGAAACTATACTATAAAGCTGGGGTTGGGCCCCAATCTACTATTATTTGCAAGATGTAATCTTGTTATGAATTTAAACCTCTCCTCTAAAGTCCATGAATAAGAGTTGATAATAACTATAGAAAGAACCTCCAACTGCACAAAGTGAGATTTATTTCCCTTTCTTTCTTCTAAAAATGAGATACATGTGCACAACATGCAGGTTTGCTACATAGGTATATATGTGCCATGATGGTTTGCTGCACCTATAGACTGACCCTCTAACTTCCCTCCCCTTATCCCCCATCCCCCAATAGGTCCTGGTGTGTATTGTACCCCTCTCTGTGTCCATGTGTTTTCAATGTTCAACTCCCAGTTATCAGTGGGAACATGTGGTGTTTGGTTTTCTGTTTCAGTGATGTTTTTATCCATACTTACCGTAAGTGCATACAGAAGACCCAAGCCTACCAATCCAGAATTCGAAGACCCACTAATGGATGCAATAGATGCAGTGAGGACAATGCAAGCTCCCAGATAATCCTTTGAAAAAGCAAGAGAAAATATTAAAAGATTACTCCCAAGTTCTTTTTTTTTTTTTTTTTTTTTTTAAGAAAGGGGGTTTCGCTCTTTTTCCCCGGGCTGGAGTGCAATGGCGCGATCTCGGCTCACCGCAACCTCCGCCTCCTGGGTTCAGGCAATTCTCCTGCCTCGACCTCCTGAGTAGCTGGGATTACAGGCACGCGCCACCATGCCCAGCCAATGTTTTGTATTTTTAGTAGAGATGGGGTTTCACCATGTGGACCAGGATGGTCTCGATCTCTTGACCTCGTGATCCACCCGCCTCGGCCTCCCAAAGTGCTGGGATTACAGGCGTGAGCCACCGCGCCCGGCGGCTCCCAAGTTCTTAAACCAAATATTTCAATCTACTTACAGAGGTGATCACTAAAGGAATACACATCATTCCATGTGCATCCTGTTAAGTTTCAGAGGAGGAATACCTAAGATGTGTTAGAATAAAACTTGCAGTAATAGAGCTGGAATAGACAGTGATTCCATGCTCTCACTAGATAGATAGATAGATAGATAGATAGATAGATAGATAGATAGATAGATAGATAGATAGACAGATAGATAGATATGGGTTCACAAAAGTTAAACATCTTGCCAGAAGTTAAGAAGTTAAGCTACTGTTGGTGGCACAACGAGGATCAGATGTAGGGCTTCCTTTTTTCCCCCCCTGACTTTCTACAATATTGAGTTGCCAGATAAGCAATTATTTTTGGACCTGATTTTCTAGCTCAGATTTCGTGTGTGTTTATGTCAGGATTGTGATGAGCTCCTCTGTGTGGTGTAGTGAGGCCCTTGCAGAAATTTGTCTCTGGTTAACTTGTTGGGATTTGTATTTGGTTGATGCAAAAGCCATGGCAAAAAAACCACAATTACTTTTGCTGCAACCTAGTATTTGAACTTTTTGTCAACTGTCTGGACTGAGAGTCTGGGACACTAAAACTACAGCTTTCACATAAATAAGAATAAGGGCTTTATTTGCTCAGATAGTACAAGTATGGGCATGTCTTAATGTATTTAAATAGTGTATGATTCAATTATAAACTCTTTTCCAAAATTAAAACAATTCTTTAATAACAGCCTCGAATTCATATAAAAGATGGGGACACCTGTCCACTTCTTAACGCTTTCTTTTTATCCCACTTCCCAGCGCTCTCTTGGGTATTGTTCTGTCTCATCATTTAAAAAAGAAATTCTAAAAACTTCTCATAGTGTCACATGTCCCAAAAGCATGTAGAATTTGAGATATGGTCACTTTCTAGAATTATCTCAAGTCTCATCCCATTGGTGAGCTCCTTCTCTAGCCAGATTTGTCTCTGGTTCCTCAAAAAAAAAAATCTCACAACTAGATAATAACATATTAATGACAGTAATGGAATGTTGAACATGCTGAAGTCAAAGAATGAAGTTTCTCAAATGAACTCACATGTATACATTCCGGCCTCTTTTAAAAACAGCTCTAAAGATCAAACTGTTGGAGAACTATCAATGGTCCCAGCCTTGGAATCAGAATCTGGGTTCAGACAGTGACTTTGCCAGTTACTAGTTAATGAGCTTAGACAAGCAATTTAAAACTCTCTGAGACTCAATTTCTTCCCGGGAAAATAGAAATCATATTTAATTCACAAGGATTTTTAAAGGAATAAAAATGTTAAATACCAGTGAGATTTCCCTATCTACATGTACCAAGATGTCTTTTTTTTTTTTTCCCATTTGGATAATTTTCAGATGTTTCAAGCAAGCTTAAAAATTTGTATGTATCATAAAACATCAAAGTTTAAAGCAGGCACTAAAATTCAATTCCATATTGATGCTCATGATCTTTACAAAGATTAAAGGAAGAAAATCCATAGTTAATCCTTTGAGGCAATAAATTCCACAGAGGTAGTAAGTACTTCTTTGGTTGCCTCTTCTGATGTATCCTTTTCGTAACAACTTGCCACATCCCTATCAGACAGTCTTTCTCTTTTCCTCTTTATTTGAATTAACTACATGGATGCAGAGTTTAAGCAGTCGGGATGTTCTCCTGCAGTTTATACATACCAGTGTGCTCCCAAATACTTCTAAAATATTTACAGCAATATGAATTTTTTCCTTTCAGCCATTTGGTGTAAAGTTAATACTACCAAACTTATGTTATACATAGCTATTTCCATATTATTTTTTCTAAAAGTCTCATAGAGTTTCCGTAATAAGTTGCAGAAAGTAAATTAGTACCAGAAAAATCCTTCCAGCAAGGTATGCCTGGCTTGACATTAAAAGAAAATATTTGTCATCTGGCTTCTGAGAAATATCTGTGGGTGGTGTATGTTAAGGGTTTGAGGTGAGGTACTTCTTTTATTAACTTCTATTCTCTACTTCCTGCCAGCTGACTTCATTCATTCATTCATTCTTTTAAAAATGTAAGTCAGGTCATATAACTCCCCTATTTAGAATTAACAACGGCTTCCTATTATAATACATTCAAACTCAGATAGATTACAAAGCCTTTTAAGATATAGTCTGGATTTTGTTCCCTGTCTACTCCGACCTCATCTGAGATTACTTTCCTGCTCTTTCACTATAGTCCAGCCACACTAGCCTCTTTCCTATTCCTGGGAATACATCAACTTTATTTGTACCAATGACTGCCTGAAATACTTGTCAACAGGTCTCTGATACCTGGCTCCTTCCCATCATTTGAGTGTCAACTCCAATCACCTCCTTGGAGTTTTCCTTTCTTGGTCCCTAACTCCAGCTCTGTGCCTCTTCTCTATCCCACTGTCCTGTTTTATTTTCCTCAAAGCACTCTGAAGTGTATGAAGTGATCTTATTTGCTTGTTTACATGTTTATTGTCTATCTACTCTCATTAGAATCTAAGTTCCATGAGGACAGGGTCTTTGAATTTTTACCACTATTATCTCCAGTAATAGGAATAATGTTAAATACATTGATTGTAAAGCTTCAGTACTTTGTGGAGTAAATGATTAGATAAATTCACCCCTTCATAAAACATTCACTGAGTTTTTCTATGAGCTGAATATATTTTCCGACTTGGGGCTTCTCCCGACTTTGCTTTTAGGATTTATATGAATCATTTAAGGCTCTACCAATCTCATATCCAGATTTTAAAAGTTAAACATGTAAAGATATTACCAGGGTACATTTTTTCATAAAGTGGGAAGTCTAACACAGAGTTTTACAATCTTTTAACCCCCTCTTCCATTTAGAACTGTAATATGACTGTCTCTTAAAAAGCTTTGCTATGTGTGTTAGGGGTTATTTCCTTTTCTAAAGTGAAAAGTACTTTTACCTAAGCCATGAATTTCATCATTCAGTTCCAAATTATTACATATTTTTTTTACTATTTTAATTGTGGGGAAAAACTCACAAAATATTGTTGCTGTGTTTTTTATAAATAATAGATCTGGACTAGAATAGAACAAGGTCATAATCTGAGACACTGAAACAACAAAAATCACTGGGTCTAAAAAAATGGAAAATAAGCAGTAGACATAATATGAATATAAATATAATAAAGGAAATGTAAAACATTATGCACTCAATTTCTCTCTCGTAAGTTTAGTTTACTATGGAAATCTTTGTGTTCTATACTGGGCTCCTGAATTCACTCACTGTAAAGAATAAAATGGTAGATTCAATTAGATGATAATTTTAACTATTTTCTGAATTAAAATGATAATTCTGGTAACAGATAGGTAGTCTTATTCTTGCAAAAGGGCCAGCAAAAGAAGTAAAAACAGATGATGGGAGAAAAGGTAGAAGGCTTATCAGTAAGTTGTAGTCAATATATATTTTCTACACCTCTTTCATGTGGGCCCAGAAAATATAATATTTTCAAAACTGTACAATTTTCAATCTGATCAGTAAATATTACTAGTTATTAGGCCAGTAATCAGAACATGCTCAAATTCATATATTAAAATATTTTGGAAATAATATTTTTGACCCTTCAGCAAAAGAAAGGCATAGCTTTTTGAGGCATATTTTATAGCAAAACTTTGCAGAAGAGGAACTGATTTTCAAAATCTAAACTCTATTAAATTCAAATAGATATTATACCTTGAAAGCCAATATGTCTATAGTTTAGTACCTATAACGAAGTTATTTTATTACAAGAATACTTTAAAACTTTTTTTTAAAAGAAAAAGCTATTCATGCTCTCTTTTAATTATACTAACTAAATACCTTCCAGCTCACTCCTGGATTATTATCAGTGCTAAAAACTGTTTGTTTTTTTTAAAGTACTGGAAATATTTTAGAGACTTCTGATCAGAATTTCATCTTGATTTGCATAAGGGACAAAGCTCCTTTGAAAAAATACACAGCAAAATCACTAAATTTCAATCATTTCTCTTCAAATATTATAGTAGTATAGAAATGTGAAATTAATAGCTAACATAAAAGCTTTTGTTAGTTCTCCATTTTTCACTTCCTTTACTGTTAAACTTAACAAGTTTAATGAATCACAAAGTGACCCTATGTTTACACCTTTCCATTGCTCTGCAAATCTGTGAGTAGCAAAACGGCTTAGAGGCAATAAATTAAGAAAGAGAAGCAGATGGTCTAAATAACTTTCCCAGAAGACAGCAAATACTTAGGGATCACTAATAGCATTTATTCTTCTGCTATGACCTTACACATCCTAAGCGATCTACTCAGTGAAAAACAGCTTCCATCCAAATGATACAATGAAATGAGAGATTCAACTTAGGAAACAGAAGCTACAACATAGACGAATCATCTACCTTCAAAAGAGGGCTTTTACCTGTAAATTATAACTTTCATCAATTCTGTGAATTCAATACTCCCCACCAGAAGATTTACATGTCAAAAGAGAGCCCTCTTTTCAGATTTCTAGTGATTCAAAGACATCTATCTGTATTTGGAATTACAATGAAAATTATAATTCTCTATAAAGCAGTCTGGTAAGCGGTTAAGAACAACCGAAAAATATATGATCTATCTCCTT